TCTACAATTGCATTTACTAATAATTTTTGATTACTTTAGAAAAAATAAAAATTTTTATAAAATGAAGAGATTTTTAATAAGTAAAATTTCAAATCTTTCGCAATTTATCAATAATTCAAAATGTCTTACTATAAAGATTCTAAAAAAGTCAGTAAAATGTTCGCTTGCATAACCATAGGTAGTTCTAAGGCTGGTCTTTTGGTTTCTGCTTCATTTAAACAAAAGAAAATTAAAAAAGTAAAAAAAGCAAAAAAGAAGCATCGTGAGGGTTCGAGCGGTTCGAACAATAAAAGAAAGGCTAAAGTTACCGCAAAAGCTCCGTTAATTGAGCTTTCTGATCGAGAATCTCCCCTGGAAGAAGTTCTAATAGCTCCTTTTACTGTTTCTCCTTGTACTGTTCCTTCTTCTTCTCATTCTGAATATAATTAAATAATCATTTTAAATATTGCTAATTGATAATTTATTATGAAAAGTTTCGCAGTTTTCTAATGAACGATAATAAAGTTATATTTCACAAACTTTATTATCATTAATTTAGAAAACTGCATAACTTTTCGTAAATTTAACTACATAAATCTTTGAAGTATATTAATAATTTTTAAATTAATTTATATAAGCACAAATTGCCTTAGCTGAGGTTAAAAAGTTGATAGATATAGTTGGTAAGTTGATGTACCAAAATGAAATATTAATGGAGAGGTTTGAGATGATGGAGGAGAAGATAGATGCTAGATTGAAGGCAGTGAAGGATAAGTTGTTTGCTACCTTAGATGTTGGCGAACAACAGTTATTTGTAGAGGTAAATTTAATTAAGTTCGAATATTTTTGCAAATTTTTATAATGATATGCTAATTTATAAACTTATTTTGAATATAATTTATTTGTATCTTAAATTAATAGATGACTGTAAAGGGTGTTGCAAATGCCCTAATTAAAAAAACCATCTACCCCACCTAGCAAGAACTTAAGGTGGTGGTCGAAGATTATTTAGATGGAAATAATAAGCAGTTTTTAAAAGGCTTTAAGAACAATGAAGGAAAATGAGACGCATATTATGAAAAATATTTTTATAATCCGGTAAATAATTTTATTTTTTTTTACAAATTTTAATTTTTTTTTTTATATTAATTATATTTAATTATTATTATAGCTTCTTAAGACTATGTGTTTCAAATGCGGCTCCCTTACCACTAAGGTAAAAGATGCAGTGTTTGAGGTATATGGAGATAGCTTGCTAACAAGGATCGACAGCAATGCTATCCCCAAGGAGATCGAATATTGGAAGAAGTCAAAAAAAACAAAGGATGCATATAAAAAAATATTTTCGCCAATAGTCGCAAATAATCCAGATGACATGTTCATTTCGCGAATATTGCAGAAAGTATTTCCAAAAGGAGAGCAGGAAACAGGTGTGTTGGCTTTCGCTATTGGTGTAGCCCAAGCCCTGCTAAGCCCTGGTTATGAAAAAATAACTATTGAGGAGAAAATCATAAAAGAACGAATAGAAAAAAATAAAGTAAAAATTTTATGTCTAAGTTTTATAGTTGTCGAAAAGTTTCGAATATTTTTTACAAAGTAAAAAAAAAGTAAAAAAATAAAAAAAAAATAAAAAAAAATAAAAAAAAAATAAAAGTAAGAATATTCGAAAATTTTCATATAATTTTTATGAATTACATAATTTAATTATATATTGTACATTTTGTAGGCTATACTTGGTATTTTCGTAATTTCAGATATTGAAGAAAATGCTGGTAAAAAGTCTGATGATGATGATAATGATGGTAACAAGTCAGATAGTAGTAGCAGTAGCAGCAGTAGCAGCAGTATCAACAGCAACGGTAACAGCAAAAATGATAGCAGCAGCAGCAGCGGCAACAGCACTTCCAGAAGTGCAAAAGACAATTCACAGAATCCACCTACCCCTACTCCTAAACCTAAACAGCCTCCTGTCCCAACTTCACCTGCCCCAAAGAAAACATCTACCCCAACTACACCTGCCCCAACTACACAGCCCCGATTATACCTACCCCAAAGAAAACACCTGCCCCAACTCTACCTGCCCCAACTGCAACTCCAAAACAGCAACCTCCTGCTCTAACTACAGTTTCTGAAGTATTATAATTATTTTATTTAATATTACAATAATTTTTATTTTATAACTAATTTACCTATAAAATTTTTAGACAACTAAATCTAGTCAAGTTTTGGAAATTGCCAATTTTCAAAGTAAGGTTGTGCCGGCAACTTCAGAATTACGAAGTAAGATTGCACCGGCTAAAAAAAATATTTAGAAAGTTGCATCTAAAGTACAAAGTACTCAAGAGAAAGCTACTGCGAAAAGTTCTAAAGTCTCATGTGAAACAAGAGTAATTATTATAATTTATTACTATGATAAAAATAAATTTTATAAATAACATTTTATATACAATTTTTATAGTCTTCAAGGAAACGAGGAATTACGCAAGTTACTGGAGAAGAACATGGTGAATCATCAGACATAAGTTCTAAATTCATATAATAATTTAATAATATTTTTACTTTTATGTAAATTAACTTTATTAATTAATTTAATTATAAAAATCATAAGACTTCATCAAGTCAAAAAACACAAAAAAAAGTCAAAGTTGTTCAAAAAACTGCTGCTACAAGCGCAGTAAATCCAAAAAAAAACACAAAAAAAACACTGAAAATGACAAGATAAATAATAACATAGTGTTTCGCATATTTTAAAATTTTTTAAAATTCTTTTGTTTTTTTTTATTTTTTTAAATATTTTTTATGAGTTTATATATATGTACCCGAAGGTACATGTATCCGCATCATGTGATTTATATAGATTATATGATTAGCCTAAAATGCTATATATAATTATTACAGTATTATTCAACACGAATGTCACATGATTGACTGCCAATCACGAAACTACCTAGTATTGCCTAATCAGGTGTAACATTTAGAGTTTGGACCGAGTTTATTTTTCATATGTTAAAACTGGGTTTAATCGGTTTTAATATATGAAAAATAAACCCGGTTCCAAACTCTAAACATTACACAATCCGGAGATTCAAAACAAACGTTCGCTTTGTCAAAAATTGCTTTTTCTTAAAAAGCAATGTAAGAAACTACCTTTAGTGCTCTAACAAAAAGGTTTCCTTGAGCGATTTTACTATTAGAGCTCCTCTAACCTTAACTCTAACCTAAATGAACTTTAAAGGATTTTTCAATTTTCATGTGACTATGCTTTTTTAAGGCGATACTGGGGAAGATTCAATCAAGAAGTAAATTTTAATTAACTAAAATCTTAAGAACCAGGTAAAATCATAATAACTTAGCCGTCTTTTAAATAAGTTGCCAAAAATAAGATGAATGGTTATTTTACCCGATACTTTAATTTCTAGTTTTACTTCTAAAACGATAATGATCTTTGCAAATAAACAATATACTAGTTTGCTACTATATAGTTAAAATTCATCTTTCAATAATGACCCTAGCCATCACCAATCTAAAAATTCCCTACTATATCAAATACTTTAACAAAAATAGTTAAGTTGATGACACTAAGGCCCTATCTTTTAATATGTACAACAAAGCATTTAATAATTTTAGCAATTTGTTTCACTAGTAATAATCAATACTATTAGCGTTAGTAACGGTGCAACCAATATCGATATGTTAACATTAAGTTGCATGCATCTAAGCAGAACTAATTCTGCTTAGATGCATACATTCAGTGTGTTACATATTAATCTTTAACAATATATTTATAACGAATAGCGAATGGCATTTAAATTCAATATTAAAGTTCACACAGGCTCATCATTAAACATATAACTCAATCATCTAAATCTAATTAATACATATTTCAAAATATAAACCCATTTAATATGAGTATGAGATATTCTGCCGTTTGTGCTATGCCTCACAACCAGCTTTGTTGTGTCCTGTATTATGACATTGCTAACATTGAGTTGGTTTTCTTGCCTTATGTATTTCTGATTGTTTAGCACCAGATATATATTTGTTGACTAATTCATTAGATCCTTTAAGCCATTTTTTCCTTGGTGCGCCTCTTTTTGAATGCACTATCAGATTTTCAACATTAATAAAATCTTCTTTATTACTGGAACTAGAATTTGAAGTAGTTTCATCTTCGTCCTCCTGCTGTCTTTCAATTCTTTTGCGATTCACCTTTTCCTTGCCTTTGGTGTATATTTACTAATAAAACCACTCATAAAGCTCTCGAGTTCTTTTATTGCATTTGGACCAGCATCTAGTCCAGTTTGAATAGCTTTTTTTGACAAACCATTAACAGTTACATAGGCCTTGCGATGATTAATTTTAGTATGTACATCGCTAAATGAAATGTCTGGTAATCGAAAAGATAAATTGGGAAATGTTTGTTCAATATTAATCAAGGCCTTTGTACTATCTAGCCCAAAGATAAAAGAATGCTGTTGTGTTTCTGACTCTGGTTCAATTTGTTTTTCGTTATTGTACCATCTTTTCGAGATTAGTATAATATGGAATGCAGCATAATTAGAGATAGTCATAACTTGGAAGAAATGTCTATATACCAAACCACACTGAATTAAACCAAGGCATGTACATAGGTGTGAATTATCTTTAAACAATACAATGTAATTTTTTGCCTTGCGTCTATGCTGGGTAACCTCCCAAATTTCACGAATTGATTCAACTTTGGTAGATGGTACTAATTCTTTAATTAAAATAGCTTGTACATCTATTAAATCTTCAATGAAGGTATTAAATATATTAGTTGAATCCAATTGTTCAGTTGGTTCAGTTAAATCAAATTGTTCATATTGGTCAATTGAGTCAGATTCTTCAATCAAGTTAACGTTTTCAGTTAAATCGAACTGCAATCCCAAATCTTGAAAATTTTCAATAAGACGCGGTATATACCACACGGCTTGAGAAATTTCCTGTCTTTGCATAGATAAGGAAGCAGGCGTTAGGTAGGTAGTAATCCATTTGTCAACCTCAGGGGAGAA